GTAGTTTTGCAGAAGAGCCTCCACCACTGTGCAGCTTGCTTTTCTATGCTCCGTGTATTGACAGGAGGAACGTCCAGGCTCCCCCGATCTCCATGGCAAAGTGCAATCACGTTCTTGCAACCAACCTGGTTTCATCTAAGTCATCTGCAACAGGCCTGGCTGGATTGTAGCCACAAAGCAACCTCCAGGAGCCTTCTGTTGCGTCTCCACATCAGGGTTGCCAATTCCAGATTTTTTGTTTGTTTACTGACAACCCGCAAACTTTTTACTGATGACAGAACTTTTTTTACTGACGTGTTTTTACTGACAGATGTCTTGCATAATCCTTCTGCCAGGTCCGGGACAAGGGCTGGGCTCAAATTTAGGGGTTAACACCCACCATAATAAAAATTGTTTGCAGATCATTAGTAAAAAAAAATTTATTGGGTTGGTGACCCTGCTTGACTGCAGCTATGTTTTTACACCCATCCCAAGGTCCCCTATCCACCTCTCACACACTGACACCCTTGACCACACTCCCATCTCACCCCACAGCCTTACTCCGACCGGCCCTGCACCACCTGTCCTAGCACAGACCTCTATCTGCCGCCTTTCCCTTCTCCCAACCCTACAGCTCCACGCTGGCTAAGCAGCTATTAGAGGCAGGCGTAAGGGGTGGGGGATGCAGTGGCAGCACATGGCTGGGGAGTAGAGAAGGGGGGAACCACAAAGCCCTGGAAAGTGCTCTCTGCAGGGTGCTATGCTCCCACTCCGATGCTAGGTGGCACTGCTCTGCTCTGTCTGTCCATCAAGCTCACTGATTCTTTGTTTTTTAGAGACAGTTCCCATTATTTTTGTGTATCAAGGGTTTTTTTTTTTCCCCTATTGCTTACGGATTGTCTGTATATTTATGGACAGTTGGTAACCCTGCTCCACATCCAGCCTGCCACCTCACCTAGCTTGCAAGACTGCCTTCTAGGAAAACCTCAGCAGGGAGGAGAATGCCTGTTTGACTTGCATGCGGGCGGAGCGGATCATTTTAGGGATGCCCGCACAGAGGTCTGGGAGAGTGATTTGGCACCCCCTGCTGAGGGACCTTGTCCACCCTGCAGAAACAGGGAGGCAGCCACAAAAGTGAGGCAAGGGTGTCAGCAAGTTTTAAATACATGAGACATGGTTTAGGGCCAATCATGTCACTAACTTCCCAGGTCAGTTCAAAGCTACCATGTAGAGGGGGGCTGAAGGCATGAGGAGGTCATGACTGTAATTCTTCATATATTGTAGAAACTTGGCTGCCTGTCCAATTCATAGATTTCATAGACATTAGGGCTGGATGGGACCTCGTAAGATTGAATCCAGCCCCCTCATCAGATTGAATCCAGCCTGACCAATGGGCAGGAAGTCAGTTAGGAAGTCCATGATCTCAGAGTACCCAAATCTATCTAAAGTGCTGTTTGCAAAGCAGAACAGTGGGAGAAGGAATTTGAGGCTTGAAGGGGAACGTCTACACCCTGGCAGCAATGTGTCCTTCCTGGAATGGTTCTGGATACCCCCCACCAATCCAGCAATGGTGTTTGGCCTGGGAAAATGTGCAGCAAGGGCCATAGTCCCAGGACCAGACATGGCAACACTGTGCTCCAACTGGGACCTGACAGAGACCACCCCCGCGGGGTATTTAAAACACAGTATTGACAAACTTATAGGAAAACCCCATCCTCTACCTGGGAAAAGTCCCGGTGCAATGAATGTAATCAGGCCACAGCAAGGTTGGGGCTGGGCATCACGTAACGCAGCTGATGTTCCAGTGAAGGGGATGAAAAACGTGCCCCAAAAGCAGCACTGTGGAGAGAGATGTCATCAGAGCAGGGGTCAGACCTTTTCTATTCTCTTTGCTGCTGCTGCTTTGTTCTCTGCTCTTTCCCCTGCTCTGTCCCTCCCCACCCCCCCAGTGCCACCGCCCCCTGGTTACCTATTCTCAGGTGTCCACTGGACATGGGAATACCTTTGTTGTTCCCTGCATGGCTTGTGTAGGGTTTCAGATGCCAGGGTTTTGCTTCTCCCCCACCTGTGGCAGCTGAGACCTCTGTGAGATGTTCTGACATGCTGCTGGCTCAGCTCTGACCCTGCTCTGTCCTCAGGCTGTGAAGAAGCTGAATCTGTGGGCATAGGAAAAGTACATCTTGCATCTCTCCCTCTGGCATCGTGACAAGTTGCTGGGCAGCTCCATGGTGGGTGCTGTCCCGAACTGAGTCCTGGCAGGTCACAGCAAGCCAGTTACCATGACATGGTTGCTTTCATCCTGTTTCTGCTACAGCAGACATGGCCTACAACAAGCGGCTGCTTGCAGGTGCTGAGTGTGGGCTTGACACACGGAAACATTTCAATTAATTCCCTATTAGCACAGCCTGGCTGGAAGCCACAATGGTAACCTCATCCCTTGGCAGGACTGCCCCAGCCTCAGAGGAAAGGTCAGCCTGTGCTTCAGCACAATCTGCCCCGCTTTCACAAATGCCTGGAGCTGGGGGAGTAATTCACATACCCAGAGCTAACCTTGGGCATCCGGCTCTCGTAGGCCACACCAGGAGGTCGTTACAGTCATGAATGGAAGTTAATGCCCTGCAGCAATTGATGTGGACAACGTGGTTTTGCAGTGTCCTGCCCTTGCTCAGACTCCCGGGTGCAGCTGCTGCATGTGGGGAACACCTGCAATGTCCCTTGGAGCTGCCCCATGAGGGTTCAGCTGGGACATAGGAAGCTGGGCCACTAGGAGCAACCTGGGGGTCAACCAGGTGGGAGCATCCATTACCCAAGTGCCAGGTTGGGGTCTGGGTTGGAAGGTTGGAGAGAGCAGGGACCAAGGTCCAGGAGAGCGAAAAAGGGAGATCCAATAGGCACAGTGCGACGTGAGCTGAGATCCAAAACCAGGAGTCAGAGAGCCAGTACCAAGTTCCAGGGCAGATTCAGGGTCAGGGCCAGGGAAAGCTGAAGCCAAGTCAGGAGAATCAGAAAGCAGTGTCCGTGAGGCTTGCAAAACAGACCTGGGGCTGCAGGTGTGCTTGAAAGGGGTGAGTGGTGCCTTCAGCTGCCATCCAGTTGCAGAGAACTGGGGTGGTCGGATTAGCCAGGGATCAGGGGCAGGCGAGGAATTCAGGTGCTTGGCCTAGCTGGGCATGCCTGATCAGAGGCCCTGACAGACCCCAACTCAGCCCTAGCTTCCTCTACCATCGGGGGGAGCAAATGGCTTTGTGCAGCACCTAGCATGACAGGAGTCTGGTGCGCAGGGAGGGTGTCTAGGTGCTAGAGCGAAGCTAGCAGGTATGTGAAGTCTGTGTGCGCATTCAGATGATGCCGGCTGCAACACCCTGCTGCTCCTTGCCTGTCTCTGCTTCTCCCAGCACTTGTTCAGCCTTGCCAGCGTGCCCAGGACTATGTCACCTGCAGGGCCCCTGGCTGCTGTGTCCCTGGAGGCCAGCCTGAGCTATCTTCAACAGCTCAAGTCTAGGCAGCGATAGCACAGGCCTGGCCTCTGACAACGGAGGGGGTTCCTACGTATTGCACTGACCACACAGTCCCGCAAGCATGGCATGGAGCATGGGCGGTCCAGCAAGTCTGGCTTAGGGCAGCTGATGCCTCTGTGAGATGATCTGCTGTGCTGTTGGCTCAGCTCCCACCCTGCTCTGTCATTGGGCTGCAAAGGCACCGAAACTGCAAGTCTAGGAAGGGCCAGTCTTGCTGCCACCCTGGCTTTAAAAGCACCTCTCCCTCTCCGGCATCGTGACAGCTCGTTGGGCAGCTCCACGTCCTCTCCAGCGGCTGGCGAAGCCTGGCAGCGGGAGCCCAGTTGCCTTGGTGCTGCGCTGCAGGGGTTGATCCAGCCAGCAAAGGTTTGCCTAGAAGCACCAGTCCCACTGGAGGTCACTGGGAGGAAGCTTCCAAATCGCGTAAATATTGTTAATGTTTCTCCCCCTCCACACCGATCCTGGCTTTTCTGCAGGAGGTCCAAGTGCTTCCACGAATGGTCAAAGGTACCTGAACCTGTCAGCGAGGGCTGGTTGCCTCGCTCCCTCTGAGCACCCCGGGGCAATTCGTTCGCCAGCCGCTCGTCTGGCTTTCGCGATCATCCCAGTCCTAGCGGTTGAGTATTATGCTCCTCACCATGGGCACGTCAGCAACGATCCTCAGAGAGACGTGGGCATCTGACCACCCTTTACCCTCATCTGTGAGAGCAGGATGGGTTTTTACAAGGGATTTTTAGCTTATTTTATAAGGAACGGTTTGATGAAACGGCTGCTGGTACACACGTGGCGATGCCATAATCGTTTCCAACGCGCCCTTGCTTTACCGACCCCGTCTGGGTGGCCGGATTAACCATCCGGAGGATCGTCCCTCCCCACCTCGGAGCTCCCCCTCAGGCACCGCGCAGAAATAACGTCGCGCAGATCATGGACTGGGACAACAAGGGCTGAAGGGACCTCGGGAGGTCACGTCTCATATATGTTAGGTGTTAGCCTCAACCCGCCAGGGCTTGTCCTCAAAACCTCCAAGGATGGAGACTCCTCTGCTGCTCCCGGGAGCCCGTTGCAGTGCGTCACCGCCCTCCTCGTGAGAGCTTTTCCTAATATCCAACCTCAACATCCCTTGCTGCAGCTTGAGCCCGTTGCTCCTTGTCCTGCTATCTGCCCCCACTGAGACCAGTCCAGCTCCATCCCCTTTGCACCCCCTGCAGGGAGGTGAAGGCTGCTATTCAATCCCCCTCGGTCTTCCCTTCTGCAGTCTAAATCAGCCCATTTCTCTCAGCCTCTCCTCACCACTCCTGTCCCCCAGCCCCACCACCATTTTTGTTATCCTCCACTGGACTCTCTCCAACGTGTCCACATCCTTTCTGTAGTGGGGATGGTCACAGCTGGACGCAGCACTCCACTCCCCACCCCATATTGCTCCACGCCGTCCCGCCCCGCCGCCATGTTGCCTCGCTCTGGCAGGCGGGGGGGCGTGGCCACGCGCTGGGTGGGCGGGGCCGTGCGTGGGAGCGGCGTGACGTCACGGGGTGAGAGGGCAGAGGGCGCAGGGAGCCGCAGCCGGCCGGGAGCCGGAGCGAGGCTGAGCGCGCCAGGAAGGTGGCGCGGCCGGAAGGTGCGGACCCTACTTCCGGCCCCGGGGGGCGGGACCCCCGACCCATTCTCCTGAGGCGGGGCCCCGTTAGCAGTGCGGGTCGTGTCGTGGCCTCCGCGGTGGTGTTGCTCCGAGCGTCCGCTTCGTCCCTGCCCCCCCTCCCCCCCCGGTGCTATGGTTAGTAGCGGGGGCGGGGGTCATCCCCGCCGGTCGTGCCCCGCGCGGGTGCCGTTGGTGACGGGTGTGCTGATTGGTGCCGGCACTGACTGACTTTACATCATTTTGCGACTGGTCCCGTTATTGGTGGCACAATGAATACCTTACCTGTATCATTGATATTGCTGCGTCTTGGGATCATCGCTCTTTCTTGGTATCGTTACTTATTAGTAACCATTGCTGCTGTTCCTGATTAGTCAGTCAATAGTATCGTTACTTATTGGTATTGCAATCAATACTTTACTAGCATCGTTGATACCGTTATTTATTGGTGTCGTGATTGGTATCGCTGCTTATCCCTAGTGCGATTGGTCCCACTGTTGGTGTCGCATTTAATATCTTACTAGTATCATTGATATTGCTGTGTATTGTTATCATTTCTTTGTTATTGTTCCTTATTAGCCAGTAAGTATAGTAAGGTATCCTTGTTTGGGGGAGTAACGGTAGTTATTGGTATCATAATCAATATCATACTAGTATCGTTGATACCGTTATTGATCGCTACCGTTACTTATTAGTATTGTCACTTGGTATCACAATTAATAGCTCACTAGCAGGGATCCTGGCTTTCTATGATTTTAAAAAAACAAACACCCCCATTTTTGGTTTAAAAAAAAACAAAACAAAAAAGTAACCCCAACTCCACGTTGTTCTGTGACTTTAAACACAACGCCGCCAGTATATAGATATACATATATAATATACATGCATCTGTATGTAATGCAGAGGTACATGTATATCTATATATTGGCGGCGTTTCGTTTAAAGTCACAGAACAATGTGGAGTTGGGGTTACTTTTCTTTAACCAAAAGTAGAAAAACAAATCCCCAGTCGGAGAAAATAAGCAGATCCCTGCTTATTAGTTGTATTGGTATTGTTGTGGGGTATGAGTACCCATTGATTGGGGGGGGGTGTTAGTACCTATTCATGCTGGGGCGGGGGGTCGGTGTTAGTGCCCATTCGTGCTTGGCTGGGGTGGGGGTTAGTGCCCATTGATGCCTGGGGGGGTGGGATATTGGTATCCATTAATGGGGGGGGCGGGTATTAGTGCCCATGGATGCCTTGGGGTGGTGGTGGGGGTGGTATTAGTACCCACTGATGCCAGGGGTGGGTGGGTATTAGTGCCCATTGTTGCCTGGTGGTAGTGGTATTTGTACCCACTGATGCCTGGGGGAGGCGGGGTTGTATTAGTGCCCATT